AACCATTTTTTTCAAGTCAAAACCATTGCTATGGCTGAAGCCACGGCTGCATTATGGTCTGTACAGCTTTTCCAGCCAGAGAAAACAGCAAACCAGTGGATCCAGTCTCACTCAATATAATTAGCGTTGTAAGTAAATGGAATATAATAGCTAAAGTGACAGGCATAACAGTTTTCTGTGCACAGTTTAGAGATTTAAATGCAAGACGTGATAAAAATAAAAAGCCATGAACAGCCAGATGATAGTCCCATCCCCCGATAAGCTCCTTAGGTAGATATGTAGGAGATCAGCCTGTTCAGGGGTGCCCCTATTTGATAAGCGTTTTCTAACATCTGAAGTGCTATTGCTCACCGAGGCTTTCAAACTTGCTGGCAAATCTCTGTGAGATTCTTACCTATTGCCTCCATTAAAAGGACAGGAAATTGTTAATGCTTCTACCGCTTAAATCTGTTGGTGGGTCACATGATTACAATTGCAAGCCACTCAATACAGGTGACAATAATATGTAGCCTTTCTTATTGTTAGCATTTATAATGTATTTTTATTGCAGTGCTCTTTCATCCTGTTTTCTACATCTGGATCTGTGCATGGAGAGATTCATAAACAGAGAATGACTTTGGTATAAAGAATCCATAACATTGTATGAACAAACATGGCATGTCACAAGAAAATCTGAGAAAGCTGATCCTTGCTTCTTGTTACTACACAGAGGGAAGGAAGGTGTTAACCATGCATCTGCTGCTTCAGGTCGGCAAATCATCAGTAACAGCAGCATCTCACTGTCCATCCTTGTCTGAGGAACATCTGCCCAGCTATGGTCCTCTGAACCTGGAAGCAAATGCGGCTGCAAAGGTCACATGAAGACAACCTGGCTAACCAGTTGAGTTCCACATATTCTTTCCAGCTGCTGCAGCCAACTAATAATAGTAAGCCATTTTATTTTAATTAAAAAAATATCAATAAAGAGATGTGAAAAGGGTCATTTGTACATGCAACATACACTGAGTGGCCAGATTATTATGACCACCTGATGTTTGTAGACAAATTAGCTATAATTTTGCGCTGAAGTTGCTAGAGGGCCAGACCATTATAAATAGGGAAGCAGGTTGTTTACCACGACAGTAGAAGTGATTTTTTTTCCTGAAGATATGGGTAAACAGCGTGATTTAACAGCCTTTGAACGTGGGATGATTGTTGGCCATGGAGCGAGTATCAGCAAAACAGCAGAATTCATTAAATGTTCAAGAGCAGCTGTTAAAGTGTTTAAAGACGGGACCGTCAGCCGAAAATCTGGGTCTGAACATGCGAATTGTGGCCGTCAGCGACTAGTCAATGTTAGGGCAGAACGGAGAGTGGCAAGACTGGTACAAGAGAACAGAAGGGCAACAGTGCAGTGTCAGATTCCTCGCATCACCTTTCAACATCTCGTGGAGTCACGAGGCGGCCCAACGAAGTAATCTCGTGGAGTCATCTCGTGGCCCAACGAAGTACTGATGGGGTGGTCATGTGTATAAAAATAGCAGTATGTAATACAACCTTTATATCAACTACATCAATTATGCTCTTCCAATTGAAACCTGTATTTAAATAGGGGTTCTATTTTCTAATGTACAAAAATAAATAAAATGCAAGCATATACATTGTTTGGATGTTTTAATGGCCCAAAAATTGTTAAGATACAGCATATGCACATGACCATATCTTTAAGAACCCGAGCAGTGCAAAAATAAAGATGTTGCCCAGAGGGATGGTGAGAAATGGTGTGTGAAGTCAAATAAAAGATGGGCAGCTCTGGCAGTCTTCAAGACAAAGCTTTGTTTATGTGATGCCTTTAAACGGCATTCATAACATTTACACTCATAAAAGAGATGAATTGAATAAAGATCATCAACTCGAGTATGAAAGAAAAATTAGCACACCCACTATTCTGCATTTTGATTAAACACATCAACATAATGAGCACCATGTTGAAGATTATCTATAGTAACAATAGCTGCCATGTGTAATCTGAAATTCTGTCCCCTCTCCAAACCTCATAAATACTCAGAAAAGCACATTTGCTGTGGTTCACTGATTCTGCCTTTAAAAGATATTTGCCCGGAGGATGCATCATATGGAGGGAAATGGACCGAGCAGAGACGTAGGCAAGACTCTGCATTTATCCTACACTAAGTTTGTTGCATAGACACTTAGCTTTTTTTTTATGTAGCACTTCATTTTCATTTTTTAGATGTTCAGCATTGATAAAAACAAAAACAACCCAAACAAAACATGTTTATCATAATGGCAGCGATAACCTATTCTAGATGCATTGCTCGCAGACTCGTCACTGCTATGGGAGATAATGTATGCAAATTATATACATGCAATCATGCACTGCAAACATCTCTAGAGGTGTGTTTGTATAAGTGCATGGCAAACAAACCCCTGTTTATTTACTTGTGTATTATGCAATTAGCAACACAAAATATTAATAGCTACCGGATCTCCGATGGAAGACCCGGAAGCCGGCGGAGAGGCGAGTACGGAGCCAAAAGAACTTTGATCGATCAAAATAATTTTGATCGATCAAAAAAATTAACGATTAATCGAGGGATTAATCGTTAATTTCCGCAGCCCTAATAGCTAGTAAGAGTCTAGCTGGTCATTCAGTCTGCTCATTTATTATTTACAAAAACTACACATTTGGGCTAGGGACAGTTGTTTACATTTCATTAAAGGTGCATTCCACTCTGAAACGTGAAATTTCAGTTCATTTATTTTTGATTATTGGTGTAGTGTAAAAGTCCATCCAAGTCTGTTTGGCGATCTGTGAACCCTTGCTTATGATGCAGGAGAAAAATTCCATAAAAAAACCCATTGCAGGATACTTGGTGCATTTTTCAGGCCTTGCCGGAGATGAAAAATACAATAAGAATGCCCTGCCAGGTGCACTCTCGGGAAGTGTTTGTTATGCCCTCCCTTACAATCTAATTAGCCAGTGAAACCGTTCATCATAGTGATTGGCCAATAACAATGAGCGAGAGTAAGGTTTACTGGCAAGCTCTCACACCAGAAGTGTTGGCACTTTGCCCGTTCGGTCCAGCCTGACATTCTGGTAAAACAAGAGCATACTGAAATCGACATTAGTCACGTGAATTCACTTCATACCTTTCCATATTCTTAAAGTGACAGAGCCTCTTTAAACCTAATGTTATGTACATATGTTATACCAATCTAATGTGTTCACTAGTGTTTAAAACTGGCCATAGATCAGACAGAGCATCAACAAAAAAAACAGAGTGATCAAGCAACAGTTTTAAGTCTCTGGCATAAGTAGACACAGTGATGATGAAATGACTGATTAGCAAGGTTTAAAAAATCTGGTCTAATTGTGATTATCCACCTTCTGCAATAAGCTGGCAATGTCTTTTTCTCTTCATCTATTGGCAAAAACATACATTCTGAAGTAGTATGCGGAGTCAGGGATTGTACTCACAGCAGCAGCTTTGAAGCACACCTGTCGTGGCCAAAACATGTGGACTGCCATTACTGACCTCTGGTGGAACATGCTAGTTGCCTAGCGGTTCACATATCATGATCAAGCATGTCACAAATTAAAGTCAGGGAAAAATCAGAAATCCTTAACACTGTTTGTTTTCCTAGTTCAGAACGTACTGCAGCCAAAGCATCTGCACGACAGTCAACTAGCATATTTAGGACACATCAGTATTGGCAAACAACATATTTTTTACCACAGCAGGTTTCCCTTATAAGGCATTTGCTTATAAACTGCCTTCCATCTGGCTAGATATGAGAAAGCATGTGACAAGCAAGTTAAACCAGGTATTAGTAGACCTTTTTTGGATATCTGCTAATACACTTTAGTTCCCCAGAGTGAAGTCTGCATTTAAGACCCCCATTTCTGTTGCACTTCTTTGAACTTGCTCCGATTAATCAGTGGCTTTCTGTAGGTGAGGTCTAATAGCTGTTTTGACATATAAAGAAGATGGATTACGGAAACAGACCTCCTGCCTACACTAAATTCATTGTTCTCTAGCATAATGCACAATCAGGAAAAAGAAAGCACAAAATAACCCTTGAAATTATAGGCAATTAACATACGGGTGCTTCAGACTGGCACTCAGGATGATACATTTATTCAACACAATAAAAATACTGTAATGTACATGTCAATAGTGGTCTTTGTTCTTTGTGGTGGTTAGTCGAAAAACAAAAACAAAAAAAAAAAGCAGATTTTCTTCACAGAACATTGGCAAGGCACTAGTTAAATGCAGTGAAGGTATTGTGTTATTCTCTAATAATTGAATTTTATGCTTCTCTGCTGCAGCTTATAAACAACATCTCTGCTGTGCAGGAATAACTGCTGTCCAGAACGAGAGCAGCCAAGCGAGGAGACAGCAAGTGTCTAGATCTCCCATGAGCCCCTGCAAGAACAAATTACAACATCTCATGCACCACCCCTTCACTCCCCTCAAACCTTTTCCTTCTCGTGAAGCAATTACAGTCAAAGAATAGCACAGAGCCTTGTGAAAGTGTTAGGCATAATAGGCTTTCATGGAGTCCATCACCTCATAGGTTATCAAGAAATTTGGATAGTGTAATGCCAGGCTCGACAAATGTAAAGGCCACAGAACTGCTTGTCAGGCATCCAGACACAGATGTAGATGAAAGATGGTGAAGCGGATTGTTGCTAATTTTATACAAGGCAACAGATTATTGAAAAAATTTAATATAATGCACATAAGGGAAACAACATACAAACATACTACATAGTTTGTACTCCCAGAAACAGAAAGATGAATACAAGTCATTGAGCACCACAAGCATTCTTAAATATTACTATGCTTATAAACATGTCAGGTAAAAGGTAGAAAAGATATCCGACATCTTCAGTGCAAGGATGCATAAATACCAGAAACCAGGTAGCTAGTGTGCCTTCAAAGAAATAAACTTGCTCACACTTGCAGAACATCAATTCCCATGTCCCAGACTAATATCTATTTGCCCCATGTAGACAAAGTTAGTGAAGATCTTGCTTGGGTCCAGCGCCACACCAGCAAATCTGCTCCAGCTACCCGTTGCGATTCTGTTCGAAAACGAGATTCATTATCTTCCACAAACTGCACAGCACGATCCCAGACTTTCTTTAAGCGTTTCCTAGACGTATTAATGGAAAAATGTTAATATTTGTTTTAGTTTGTCATTAAAAACCCTGTTATGTCTCTGCTACCTCTCATATTTTCTGGTATACACTATATTGACAAAAGTATTGGGACGCCAGGTTCACTATTGAGTTGGCCCACCCTTTGCCGCTGTAACAGCTTCAACTCTTCTGGGAAGGCGTCCACAAGGTTTAGGAGTGTGTTTATGGGAATGTTGGACCATTTGTGAGGTCAGGTACTGATGTTAGACGAGAAGGCCTGGCTCGTAGTCTCTGCTCTAATTAATTCCAAAAGGAGTTCTATCGGGTTGAGGTCAGAACTCTGTGCAGGACAGTCAAGTTCCTCCACCCCAAACTCGCTCATCCATGTCTTTATGAACCTTGCTTTGTGCACTGGTGCGCAGTCATGTTGAACAGGAAGGGGCCATCCCCAAACTGTTCCCACAGTGTTGGGAGCATGAAATTGTCCAAAATGTCTTGGTATGCTGATGCCTTAAGAGTTCCCTTCACCAGAACTAAGGGGCCAAGCCTAACCCCCGAAAAACAACCCCTCACCATAATCCCCCCTCCACCAAACTTTACACTTGGCACAATGCAGTCAGGCAAGTACCGTTCTCCTGGCAACCGCCAAACCCAGACACGTCCGTCGGATTGCCAGACAGAGAAGCGTGATTCGTCACTCCAGAGAACACGTCTCCACTTCTCTAGAGACCAGTGGCGGCGTGCTTTACACCACGGCATCCCACGCTTTGCATTGCACTTGGTGATGTAAGGCTTGGATGCAGCTGCTCGGCCATGGAAACCCATTCCATAAAACACCTGAATCCAATGATTTGGAAGGAAGGGTGTCCCAATACTTTTGGCAACACACACCTCATTAAGTGGTTAGGCAGCTACAATACCATGTTTTTATTTGCATTATATACTGTACTGTATGAGATTCTTAGCTGGCAAGACCATTGAAGATTTAGTATAGCTTTCAAGAACAGCAAAATCAAGAAAACATAAAAGGTTTTATCTGCAAGCTTGCTTGACCGAATATATCAAATGAGCTGGGTATATTGGTGCACACATTCTTGACTACTTAGGTAATGCTTAGCAGATGACAGGTTTACAATAAAGATTAACTATACGTTTTAATGTTTTCTAGATTTAGATTACAAAGATAAGCTTAAAGCTGAACTCCATGGAATTTTTGCAAAATACCGTAAAAGTGTGACTCCCGCCTGCAAGGGTTAAATGGTAATTTTTGCCTGGGGGAATATTACTTGCCTTACCCCTTGGTCCCGTGGTAGCCGGTGGTCTCCTCTTTCCCTCCAACGCTCCAGGTTGTGTGGAGGGCCCTCAGTGCCCTCACTTACAATGCAGGTTCTGCACTGGATGCGACAACTTTAGACTGAGACAAGATGCCAGAGGCAATCAGTTTTTGGGGAACTGGTTGCACAGAAAGAAGGAAGTCTGGTGGGCTAAGTAAAACTGCTCTTTAATGTTTCCCTAGGGAAAAACAAGCATTGAACCTTTACAGTTCGGGGGAACCCCTACTTCAAGCGTAGTTTTTGAGTTTGCCTGGAGTTCAGCTTTAATGAAGATAATCCTACTAATATCTACCAATATATTTTAAAAAAAAAAGGTTTCTGGGGATCATTTTTAATCATACATGGACTTGACCATGTTTGCAGATTTCATATGCAGGCTTGCTTAGTAGTGTTGTTCACTGACTGTATTGCTGATCCTGTTATCTTGGTAATTCTACTAGACAGACTCTTTCATGTCAAAAACCATAGACTCTTTGCTAGCTCTAATGACCTGAAACATGCAGAATGCCCCTAGTAGCCACAGAATCACATTTTTTGCCTACGCTTTAGCTCATGCAAGGTCGTTTAAGAGCACAATTTCCTTTGTTTGTGGCAAGAAAGAGGCACTTTTAACAATAAGTCCACTTTAAGACAAGTATGGTTGCTTTTGCTTACCTGTCCTGAGGCATTATAAGCATATCTCTGACATGTGAAATACCAATGTATGGGTTCTGTTCGATTCCCTGCTGATAGTCTTTATAGTGATGTTTAACAAAATCTGTAAAAATGGGACAAAAAAGAAGCACAATTGATATTAGGAATTCACATCCATTATGCATCCATTATTGCATTAACAGTACAATATATCTGATATATACCAATTATTTTCCCGACCATAGTAAACATCTGTTTTTCTTCCTCTTCCAACTTCCTCCAGTGATAGCGCAAGTAGATCAAAAGTAACCAGAGAACAAAGACACCTGGTAGCAGAAGAATGACTGGTAAATGTAAAATCAATAGCAGTAGAGTTTTAACCATGCATTAACAGCAGTACTCTCCCAGCCCTAGAAAAACAAAATGCTAAAAAAAGATGTGTAGGTAGGCATTACTTTTAGTTCATTCATTTACAAAGGTAATCATTAGGGATGCACCGATACCGATACTAGTACCATTGCCGATACCGAGTATTTGGGTGAGTACTCGTACTCGCCCAAATGCTCCAATACCTAGCACGAGTACTTCCTGTATCAGGAAGCCGGGCAGCGAATCATTACACGCTGCCCAGTTTCCTGATTGGCCAGGAAACGGCTCCATGCTCTCTCGTCACGATGAGAGCATGGTGATGAGAGAGCATGGAGCCGACTTCCCGGCCAATCAGGAAGCCGGGCAGCGCGTCATTGCACGCTACCCGGCTTCCTGATTGGCCGGGAAGCCGGCGTCATGCTCCCTCGTCATCTCATGAATCATAATATTAAGAAAGTGACCTTAAAGCATTAGTTTGTATTGCTTTAGAAAAAATGTGACCTGTCCCTTTAAGAAAAAGTATCGGTAATTGGTATCTGCGAGTACTTGATCAAAAGTATCGGTACTCGGTCTTAAAAAAGTGGTATCGGTGCATCCCTAGTAATCATGCCTCCAGAATATAGGCCATTTCCAAGTCTAGGTCCCCACCATTTGTAAACACTCCCCCCAGCTACCGTGGACCATCCTTGCGACCAAGAAAAAAAAAAATCAATAAACATACCTTTTTTTTCCAGGTATCCTCCGCCAGGTTCAATGCTCCTTTCACTGCCTCTTCTTTCTCCAGTGATGGGTGGATCTTATCAGCTGCAGAGACAAGGCACAACTTTCTACAGCATACCCAGGGTGAAAGTGGGTTGAATGACACGAGCATCATTCAACCAGGAAGAGGGTTGGAGGCCAGGAGCCAGAGCAGTAAAACTGTGGGGGAAATCATAGGAAGTGGGTGGAATAATGCTGAGCAATCAACCTGGAAGAGGTTTGGAGGCCAGGAGCCAGAGCAGTAAAACTGTGGGGGAAATCATAGGAAGTGGGTTAAATGACGCTGAGCATCAACCTGGAAGAGGGTTGGAGGCCAGGAGCCAAGCAGTAAAACTGTGGGGGAAAATCATAGGAAGTGGGTTGAATGACACGAGCATCCTTCAACCTGGAAGAGGTTTGGAGGCCAGGAGCCAGAGCAGTAAAACTGTGGGGGAAATCATAGGAAGTGGGTTAAATGACGCTGAGCTTCAACCTGGAAGAGGGTTGGAGGCCAGGAGCCAGAGCAGTAAAACTGTGGGGGAAAATCATAGGAAGTGAGTTGAATGATGCTAAACAATCAACCAGGAAGAGGGTTGGAGGCCAGGAGCCAGAGCAGTAAAACTGTGGGCGAAATCATAGGAATTAGGTTGAATGACACTGAGTATCAATCAACCTGGAAGAGGATTGGAAGCCAGAGCAGTAAAACTGTATGAGACATCTCTTGAGATTTTTATCCATTGCTAATTTTTTTTTTTTTGCCCAGGGTATTCAGCCACCCAATCTGCATTTAGCCTCTATGAAGGAGGTTGAAAACCACCTGAACTTTCAGTTTAAATGATCCAAATACATCCACGGTGAATCAAAACAAAGTGTACAAAGTCTTTCAGTTTGTTTTCTTCAAAATCAACCACAGCCTCTTCCCCGCCAGCATACTGCAGAGTGGGTGGGACCCTAAAGTGGTCCAACATGCCACCAGCTGAGACAGAGCCAGATCTCTACAATCAGCAGGGATCATGAGCTTTGCCGAATGTAGAGCTATAGGTCTAAGCTCACCACACACTTCATAATCTGACTGTACAATCTTCTTTAGATCTACAAACAACTGTGTGGTGCAAGGACCTGCCTGATTGTCTGCAGATTGACTGGATGGAATAGGTAGGTCCTCCTATCACATAGATTTGGTAAATCTAAAATTGACTGTACAAAAATTGTATGGTCAGACTGTAACGTGTATGGTGACCCTTACTCAGTAGGGAACATGTCCGGCCTCTGCAATAAGACCACTGCTTCCACAAAGAATGCCAGGGTCTCCCTCAGCAGCTGCTTGCAGGGGACATGCTTTTCTACACAGGCTGTGGGTGCTTTAGAAAGAAAATTACCTGTAAGACATTGAACATTATTGTTTTGATTCACCTGGAAAGGAGGGTTCAAGTGGGCTTTAAGTTGTGGAAGAGTTTGGCATCAAGGTGATGCTTTAAAATAAAAATATACTGCTTTAAAAATGTGCATAGTGCTCGGCCAGCTTCAGGACTGAGAACTAATAAATGTATGGAGATTTAAAAAGAAAAAAAGCCAGGTCACATGATCATCTCTCTGCTGCACTAAGCAAAGAGAAATATGTAGGATACCATGGCATGTAGTTTATGAACGGGCGGGCCACATTAGGCAGCAGTAATGCAAATTAAGTCGAACAGAATTTATAAAAAAAAAAAGAATAGAAAGTGAATAGTGATATCAGCTCTCCAATACAAAAGAGTTCCTAAATGACTGACAGTATCACCTACTGGACCGTATTCCCTATAAATATCAAAACAGTGGAAACATACATTGCATTATGAGAGCTAAACTCTTCTTTCTCGGTTCAGACCATGTTCACGAGAAGCCATGGAGGCTCAAATATTCAGAGACAGTGGAGTAGGGGAAAAAACAAAATTCACCCACAGTAGCAGTATTTGAACATGATTACGTGCCACTGTTATGTTGGTGTTTTGATGCAAGCAGTACTTAGAGGAGACGTCCTTTCAATACTTACAGTATCATTAAAATGTTCACATTAAGAGTCAGCCAGCACAATTCACTAAACCCAGTATAGATCAAAATTAATAAAAGGTCACCAGACAAAAAAGGACAAATAAAACTGTACATTTTTTTGACTATATGTAACAATTTATCCTCATGCTGTTATTCGTTTGACTGTATCTCATGTGTGCCGTTGTATAAATAAAGAATTTATAAAAAAAAAAAACTGTAAATTTAACAAAGCACTTCTTACCAAAAAGGGCCAGGAAAAGGTTAGAAATAGCCGTGTAAAGCGCATTTATCATTCGACAAGAGATTCCAAGATGTGGCCTTGAGGACTCAACACAGAAGACAAGGGAGCTTGTGGTGACAATTTCGCCATCTTCACCTTTCGCCCTAAAATATACACACACGGTCGCAAATTAAGAAGAAACCAGCATTGATTTATTACAGAATCAATGCTGAAAATAGTGACCAGATGTATACATATTAGCAGCAGTATGCAGTTTGACTCACCATATGCCTAAGTGTTCATCCCTGCCCAGCAGCCAGCCTACAGCAGAATCAAACTTCTCTGGTGCATGGTCAAAAACATCCTATAAAAAGGTTATGCAGCAACAGTCAGGTTAAGCCTTTAAAATCCAGTGATTCATAACAGTGGGACAAGTCCTCACTGCTACTTACCAATACATGTTCTTTTGCCTTCTTAATTGGTATACACTTGCTGCTTAGACCAGAAGGGTTTCCACACTCAAAGTTACCTAAAAGAACAAAAGCAGAAATTAAATGCTATGTAGGGCCTAAAATTAAGGTTCAACTTCTAAATTGGGATGTACCAATACCATTTTTTCCAGACCAAGTAACAATACTTTTCCTCAATGACCAATATCTTTTTTTGGGGAAAGGTCTGCCACTGACTCCAAGCTGTAGAGGGCCTACAAATCTCAGCAAAACATCATACAGCAATGCAGAATACCACCAGCTATAGAGAACTACAAATCCCAGCAACTCATTAAACAGCAATACCGAATGGCAAATGGCAATAGAGGACTACAGATCCCAGCAATGCATCATTGCAGAATAATATGAAGCCACATACTCAGGTCTCAGGTGGCTGTATGGGGTCTCATCAGGGGTCTGGAAGTGGTTTTAGGAAGGAGGAGGTGGAATGCCGTGAGCGTTTAAAAAACAGGTGCCGCTTGCTAGGGACCTTATCAGCCTTCCTGTGAACCGCGGCGCCGGTTTCAGGTTAAAAGTTTAAAGTGCCAGTATCGGCGTTTACTATCAGGGCATTTTCACATGTACAAGTACTCGTGAAAATGCCCAGTATCGGTGCACCCCTACTTCACAACATATTATTTGGGGTATTTTATGGTGTAGAAAACAAAGTTGTGTGAATATCTTTAGGATTCATATACATTAACCCCTTCGTGACGGGAGACGTACACTGTACGTCCAGCCACAAAGGGACCAAATGACTTGTCACGTACACTGTACGTGACGAGTTATTTGCTGCTTTAGAGGGCTGTTAATCGCTGAGAATCAGCTTTTAACATTCATTAATGTATGCCCTTACTACAGAGGCATTCATTAATGAAAGGGTTAACCTTTTTCAGACACCCGATACCTTAATATCGGGTGTCTGAGAGTCAAAGCAAAGCGGACACAGATGCCGGCTTTTGCCGGCATTCTGACAGCTCGTATAGATCGAGAGATATCTCTCTCAAGCTATACTGGCTTTTTTTTTTCTTTCATGAATAGATACAAAATGTGTCTATTCCTACAATGTATCTATTCCTGGAAGAAGAATGTTTGTTTGCTGATCGTTGTTGCAACAATCAGAAAACATTTAGTAACAGCTGAATCCTGAACTGCTGCAGGATCAGTGTCACTAACTTATTATCGGCTGTTCTGAAGTTTGAAGCAGCCTGATAATAACCAAAAATTTATTAATTTATCAAGCAGTAACAGTGAGATTAATTCACAAAATCTGCTTGATATAATTAAATAAATAAAATAACATTTTTAAGTTAAAAAAAAAGTGAAAAGTGTAAAAAAAATAAAAAAATGTGTAAAAAATAAAATAAAATAAGGGACAAATAAATGAATGTATTTATTGCATTTTTTTAGCTGTGCTGGTTTTGTAAAAAAAATACTACAAATCAAAACTGGGAAAAAAGTGTTTTTTTTAAACGGTTTTTTCCTCTTTTTTTATATTTTATTTGTCCTAAGTGAGGCGTTAGACGCACATATGTGATATAAATATGTAGCCCTATCTGTCCTCTAAAAAACAATATATAATATGTGTGGGTGCACTTTGTAAGAAAGTATATTACTGACGTGGAAGAATCACACAGCAAAAATGTCAAAAGTGTGTCAGTCATTTACGAACAGAAACTAAAAACAAGCTCAGTCATGAAGGGGTTAAAGCGATCACAAAATGAAAAAAATTTATTAGAAGTACTTTATGCTTCGGTTCAATAATATATATTTATTTTAAAGGTGCACCGAAATGAAATTTTGAAACTGAAAAAAAAAGAAAATTGTCAGGCCAAAACCGAAAATTATGTTTTTTCCAACCTATTTTATTTTTTATTAAACGTTTTATTTTTTTTAAATTTGTATTTATTTACTTTAACTTTACTGCTGGGAGCTTCAGCAAAATATTAGCGGTTTAAGCAGACTCCTGATATTTCCCTTTTAAAATAGAAAAGGATACGACACTGTCCGCAATCTCTTTTTCTGCAGCCCCTGTTATAAATGGACAGGAAGCCTCTATAATGCGTGTTCCTGTTCATTCATAACTTGTATCCACCATCATGAATGAACAGGAAGTGATGTGAAGCACTTTCTGTTCATTCATAATTGGGGACACAGTAAACATACTATGTCCTCAATTATTTAAAGTCAGTCAGCGATTAGCTGACGGCTGACTGCTTGTACCCGCTCCCCATCCTGACTCGCTGTCACAGGAAGCTGAGCCGCGTTCGGAGGATAGCTCGGTCTCATTTGACAGCTGACTCCTCTGGTGCAGTTCCAACAGCAGCAAGGAACCCAGTATATGACACACCCCAAGTGTGCAAAGCTGGTCATACACTGGTCTAATTTTAGCCAAGTCCTGCTGACCTGCCTGAAATACAACCAGCCAGTGGCCCCTTTGGTAGCCAACTCACTAACCCCCCCCTCCCATGGGAAAATGATTGATCTAACGGTGACTGGAGTCAATCAGTTGTAGTCACTGTTCGGGTTTTGTGCCACTGTCAGACAAAAAAAAAATAGCCTGCAAGGAAAGGGGGGGTCATGATTTTTAGTTTGCATTATCTATATTGGTGCTTTATTGCAAACGTTTAGGAAAACAGCTTTACTAGTTGCTTTTGGTTCTGTATGGGCATATTACACAGGGGGAAAAAACAAAAAAAAAAACACAAACACATTGCACACATGAGGAGATTACAAGGCCTTGCTTCCGCTGTCACTTCCAGTACAGTGATCACAAATAGTGTTATAAATTAACTGCTTACTGCTTTCTATAAGTGCATATTTAAATACCAGAGAAGTGAAGCCACATGAAAAGGTATTTTGCACATGAAAGGAGGAAATTCCAGTAGATATTTCCAGTAGATATAAAAGTTTAAAGTGCCAGTATCGGCGTTTACTATCAGGGCATTTTCACATGTACAAGTACTCGTGAAAATGCCCAGTATCGGTGCACCCCTACTTCAGTTTGTGTCCTCCCGTTACACTTAGGAGAACTATGGGGAAAAGCCCTGACCCCATAGTTCTCCTTTAAAAGCACTTAACTAGTGCTTCTTTGCACATATCTGTACAAGTAGTGTTTTACCCCTCTAAAATGAGCACTGGGACCCCATAAATCTAACTGGTTTTTCCCACCAACATAAACTTGTTATAGAATAGTCAGGGTCAGATTTGACATTGGGTTACCTAGGCCATGTCCCATGGAATCAAAGCCGACAGGGAAGCGCTTTCCCTCCCGGGCTGTTTGTTTCTTTACCTGCCTGCCTAGTTGTGTCAGTGTGTCAGTAATAGTGTCTGTAAACATGTTTCTAGTTGCGCCACCATTGGCGTCTGCAGACATGTTTCTGGTTTTGTCAGTAGGGAACTGATTCTGGCTGTGCCAGCAAGATACGGATTGTGTCTGCAGACATGATTCTGGCTGTGTTAGTTCAGTATGGGTTTGGTCTCTGCTCATGTTTCTGGCTGTTTTTGCTCAGTACTGATTCCGTCTCTGCAGACATGTTTCTGTCAGTAAGGTACTGATTGTGTCAGCACACTACTAATTGTGTCTGTAGACAAGTTTCTGTTTGCAACAGTAAAATACTGATTTTGTATCTGCGATTAGGTTTCTGGCATTAGAACTAGAGCTGGCCTAGGAGAAAAAATATAAATCTGGCCCTAGCGAAGAAGTGACCAGTGAGAGCTGTGGGGGATCATGAAGATCTACACTCCTGGAATCGCTTTCCCTGCGGACTATGGATACCGATTTGTATTGAACTAAGCGGTATTCTGGTGGTGCGGGCAGAGAGAAAGATGAGTATTTGCTTATTTTCCAGGTATAACTTTCTGCATACATTATTACTAATGACAGGGTTACTTGAAGCATACTTCTTCATGTAGAAATCCTGATCACCAGCGTTTCATTGCTATATCCAGTGCTGGTGTGTATTCGAGTGAATACCCTAGGAAAAGTTTACTTTTATCAGTAGAGCTCTTACTACCCAGCATTAAAAGGAGAATTATGAGGTCAGTGAAAATCACTCAGTGTCATAATTCTAGCTGACCTGTGACAATGAAACTGTCACAGGTCGGCTCAATAGATCATGAAGTGAGCGAACACATAGCGTCGCGGGTCACGGGGGAGGGGGCGGGTACAGCTAGCTCTGCCTATCACGCAGCTGGGTGGATCCAGACAGTAATGTCGGGATCTGTCCCGGCTGCGGCGTCTCAGTATACCGCGAGCCGTAGCTCGTGGTATACTGAGCTTAGGGTGATGGGACGCTAGTTTGTGTCCTCCCGTTACACTTAGGAGAACTATGGGGAAAAGCCCTGACCCCATAGTTCTCCTTTAAATATGAGGAGCAACAAAGTGGAGTAATATCAATAAATATGGCCTTCTAACTATGGGACAAGTACATGAACAAAACAACCGGAAGACTATACAGTCTATTTGTAACAAAGGAGCATTAAATACTCACCAGCTAAAGGTATGGTCCCGAGACTTTGTCTGGACTTCCACGTGTGGTGGTAGCTCTGACTATAGTGGCGTACTATGTATATCTTGGTTTTGTTTTGTTTTTTGTTTGTTTTTGGTTTTGTTTTGTTCTCTATTTCTTTCTCTTCCTATGACATGTCTATAGGGTCCCGACAAGACCTGAATTGATGTCCAATACTATATACTTTTTTCTTTGTACCGTTACGAAAACTCAATAAAAACCTATTGAAATTAAATACTCACCAGCCTCTAATGACAGAAAATTATACAGCTCTGAAAGGATTTGGAGAATAATTTGCTTTTGCATGACTTGGCAATACTAAAAAACAAAAGGGAAAGGAAACAAAAACTTGAGTGGAAATTTGAAATGCATGCGTAGCATATTAGCATATAATACAACATGCCACCAGACAATGCTCCACCCTTACATCCTGAGTAGCTTGACAGCAAACAATTAAAATTTTCTAAGCAAAACATGACAATAAACGTTTATAGCAAAGCGCCCCAAGAATATGAATGCTCTGCTCAGAACACGTTTACTCTTCAGCTATACATGGCAGTACCTTAATTCTATTTACATAATAGACACGCAACACATAAGAAACACCAGAATGCTTTTTTTATGATGAGATTTAGATAATGCACAATGCAACATTGTTATAAGACAGGTAGCAATTTTCAAGGAAGTACAGATAAAGAAAAATTACAGTCTCTCACAAATTATTAACTTATTTAAAAGGAACAACATTTATAAGAAGAAAAATATATTGTACCTTATCATGTTTGCCTTCGCAGTCAGGAGGAATGAGTTTGACTAAACAAATAACAAAAACAAACCGTGAATTTCAGAATAGGAGCTTTTGTTTTGAAAATGATTAAATAGTAAAGAATAACTTCAGCCAAAACTTTCATTTTTGCAGAGTGGAGAAGAGGGTCCCACTTCAGTCAAGTTTTTATTGATGGCTGACTGCTCGGAGGAGAATTCTCTTCACCCTCTAACACCAAGAAACAAGGGGATCAGAGCGGCTCCCATATTATTTTCATAACAGGTGTCAGAGAAGTTTCACATGTGCTATAACACAGTCTGTCTGTTGCCCATGGTTTTTTTGTTTTAAGTACTCAGCTACTTTTTACTTTGTCTTGCATTTCAAAATGCTGTCTGTGCTCCCATTGGAGAGACGTCACTCTGGCACCTTGGTCAGGAAGTGTTGGGAACTCTTTCCAATAAGGAAACACTTTTTACAGGATTGGGTAAAAGTCCCAACCTGAGTGAGGTTTTTATTACCATTAGTGTCTTTCTGATATGGTCTCTCCTATTTCACTCATTTTAGAGTTGAAAAGTAAAAACAGCTTATAGATTGCCCATCTTTGGTACGCTGCCCTGTACCATGTAGCCCAGAAATATGTATATTTTGAATTCTGTAGGGATGCACCGATACCGGTTTTTCGGTATCGAGTACCGATATATTTTTTTGGTACTCACCAATACTGGAAATCCCATTATGCAAGCCGGGCGGCGTGCAATGACTTGCCACACAACTTCCCAATTAGCCATCTCCATGCTTCCTCATCATCAGGTGACAAGGAAGCATGGAGCCGGCTTTATGGCCAATAAGGAAGCCAGGGGGTGGGTAATGACTCGCTGCGAGGCATTACACACCGCTCGGCTTCCTGATTGGCCGGGAAGCCGGCTCCATGCTCCCTTATCACCAAGTGACGAGGGAGCATGGAACCGGCATATTAGGAAGCCGGGCGGCAAGTCATTACTAGCCCCCCTAGCTTTCTGATTGGCCGGGAAGCCAGGTCCATGCTCCCTGGCGACGAGGGAGCATGGAGCCAGCTTTCTGACCAATCAGGAAGCCGGGGGGGGGGGGGCTTCCTGATTGGTCAGAAAGCCAGCCGTCTGAACAATGTCACATTATCGTTGTTTGCTGGAAGCAATGCATGCTGGACTATGTAGTGTTGAGAAATCGAGATTGGATCACATCAAGCAGCAGGGAAAGAGATGCAAAGCACACTGGGAATCCAGGAAGTTGACATAAAGATGCATGTGAATATGAAGGAGTATCAGAGCAGTATGTGGTGAATACTGATGCATTTATTTAATCACTATGGTTTTTTTTAATACAATACTCCTAGCTACAAAATGGGCTAGTCACACACACAAATCAGGCCTTTGATTTGACTGACAGACTGAATACATACACAGGCAGATATAAACGCTCTGTGACCTCATGGAATCAATTATCCCAGTCCTGTCATTAACAGCCTCTCTGTTACAAGAAATTTTGTGTCAGCTAAAGATAACCTTGCAGAAATTTATCAAAAGCTGGAGCAGTTGCCCATGGCAACCAATCAGCTTCTCTTTTTGGTTTCCTCAGTAAGGCTTTGAAAATGAAAGACAGAGGCTGATTAGTTGCTATGGGCAACTGCTCCAGTTTTGATAAGGACACATACAGAGAGGGGAATTTAATTAACAGTTTAATTCCGCCTGTAATGCAGATTTGCCTATCTGCAAAAATAGTTAGTTTCCTGCATATTCCTTTTCCAGGAAACCTTCAAGCCATGCATAAAAGGGCTTTGCTCACCTAGCAGACTTTTTAAGTCATCTATACAGAACACAATAAATGAAAAAGTTAAGTCTGCAACTGCACGTGGCCCTTCATATACAAAATAACATTAAAAAAATGGGGGGAAAAAAACCAACATGTTTATAAGTGCTTTACTGGAAGATTAATGGAAAAGAAAACATGAAACAAATGAAATCATACCTATGCTCTAGGACAGCCAAATAATTAGAAAGCAAGATGAATACCTAAGGGGGTCTAAAGCATGTAGAAATTTCCTTCCAAAAGGCTTATCTTAGTTAAATAGTAGGTCGGTTCTATCCTGTTTCAAGGAGAACTATGAGGTGAGTGCTATTCAATGAGACTGTAACAGGTCGGCTTAGTAGATCGGGAGGTGAGGGAACACATACCGGCGTTCGCTCACCTCTCGATCCTGTCACAGCTCTCTGCCGTGACAGGGGGAGGGGCTGGATTCCCCACTCCGATCCGCCAGCGCTGACTGGCGGATCGGACGGGGGAGGGGGCTGGTACAGCTGGCTCTGCCTCTAGATAGGCAGAGCCAGCTGTCACTCATGCAGCTGGGCGGATCCAGACATAATTGTCAGGATCCGCTTCAGCTGCGGCGTCTCAGTATACTGAGCTTAGGGTGACGGGAGGACGCTAGTTTGTGTCCTCCCGTTACCCTAAGGAGAACTATGGGGAAAAGCCTTAACACCATAGTTCTCCTTTAATGACGGACTACGATAATGCTAGTAGATCTGCACAATGGAGGCACTGGCCGATACGAATTCCACACCCCTACATAGTGACATCACTTCTGTGGTCTCTGGAACTGCAAAAGGGAATCGACACGGATACTGGTAGGAGATGGCAAAAAGCTTATGTTTCCACCAGAATTTTCAACAAACTGGTCCTAATACAGTATTCACTGGGATGAATGATCTTATTTATCTCTAGCTGTAGAGTAAACAGTAAGCAAAATAATTTCTACTCAGATGCATAGTTAATTTACGGATATTGATTTTGTTGCAAAACGTCCAATAAACTTTAGCAACCAGTCTTTATTTCTCCAAATGCACCCATAAACCGAGTCCAACTGTCGAATAACATGAACGATTCTAGCACATTTGCAATATAACCTGACCTGTAAGAGAAAGGAAAAAGATCCCATATAATCCCTCCCAAAAACTGCAAAAGCAATCGGCCACAGTGAGAAATGCCACCTTTGGCACTAGTTGCTCAAGGGGGAAAGATATATAAAGGATAAACCTGAGCACCAGATGGGAGACAGTCCAATAGGCACTTGTCAGCCCTATAAACTAGCAGCAGGTTTGAAAATCCACCACCTATATCTACAGCCCCTCCACTTTGGTATAAAGGCGGCTATACACCTGCCGATTATCGTACAATAATCGCGGGAAATCCCGCGATTGTACGATAATCGGCAGGTGTATGGATGGCGTGCGACCGTTTCTACTGTACGGTCGCACGTCTTTTGTCTTACGGGCATGTTTGAAAACCAGACGAAAATCGTAAGATTTTCGGTGTGTTTGTGGCCTGCTCGTAAGACAAATGCTACACGGGCCGGTGTGCACAAGCGCACACTGCCTGCTCAGCATTGCAGTCATTGGAAGCCCTCCCCTCAGCAGGGCGGGCTTGCGATGATCGCAAGTACGATCTGCCTGTCCAAGATGGGCAGATCGTCCAAGCTTTTAATTAGCTTACAACCATCGCAGGATGAAAGTCTTGTGATGGTTGTAAAGTGTATGGCACGCTTTAGTCTCTGAGAGTCATAAGAAGCCTTACTGATCAATAGTGAGTAAAAGGGGAGCAGACTGCAGCTCAGGTTTTACACTGAAATTCCCAAGACATTCAGGGCTGATGCAGACGGGACGTGCGGAATTGGTAGCCGCGTGGCCCCATTGATCTCACTGGAGTTGCATCTGCACGGCAATCGATAGAAAAAAAGGTACATGTATCTATCGATCTGCCTGTCGCAACTGGGGCACCATTCGAAAATAATGGCACAGCCTGAGCGATCGGCGGTGGTGGGCGACTCTGTGACCGCGCAGTCTCGTGCACAATTGCCGCGCGGTCATGGATCACCCAGGTGTAAACCTGGCCTCAGGGTCAATCAAATGGCATTACATCCAATTTAACCAGCAACATGTTTCATCACTTGTTCCTTTCAGGCTACCCAGTTTTTTATATTCTGCGCATCAGGAATGTATTTCTGGTGAGATGGTTTCATATGTAGGTTTAAAACACAGCACAGCATTCATAATTCTGGAAATCTATGCATCTTAAAGCACAACTGAAGCCACAATGTTTTTGGATAGAGAGGGATTAGAACAACTGGCACTTTTACTGCTGTCTGTGACCTTAAATGGCCACATGTCAATGACATGTGGCCACACAAGGTTAATGATGTCACCAGCATCACACCCCTTTGTTTTCATTCAGCAGTGGGGTGGGGATTGCCCTGGCCGCAGCTGATTGAACAGCAACCACAGCTTCTTTTGGAGTTCAGATCAAAGCTGAGCTCATCCCTACTCCAAACCAGTAACAATTCTTGAATTAAAGCCAGCAAACTGCCAGGTCAGTAGCGGTAGCATGTATATAGCTCCTAGTACAGGTTTCATTCAAATTTCAGTGGCCGAGGGTAGCATGTCTGTAAAAGTATTCTTTATTTTGCTGGTGCTTAGAACCAGGTCAAATAGAGTACTATATGTGCATTCTACTAAAATATACAAATACAGATTTGTTTCGCAATCCTCATTAGGTGGAGCCAGACAGGTGCAACTCTGACATAATAAACTAACCTCGAAGAAATCTGCACTGCCTAAAGGCACAACAGTCAACAAGCCATTATTGTCTAAGGTAAACTGAGCAGGAAACACCACTGATTGCTTTACCTACATGTTCATCCTGAAACAGCCCTAATGCAAAATACACACAATTTGCAGGCAATATAAACCACTTTCAACCAGTTTTCAAGTAAAAAAAAAAAAATTGTTAGCAAATGTATGACGGTAATAGAGCTGCAACAATTAATCGACTAAGTCGATTATAATCTATGATGGAAAACGTTGTCAACGCTTTCCATCATCGATTAGTTGAATTTCGATTAGTGTGGCCTTCTTCTCCTCGCCACACGCTTCTTCTCCTCCCCGCCGCGCGACACTACATGACTCCTCCAAGCCATGCGGACACGCCGCTTCTCCTCCCCGCACGCCGCATCTCCCCG